TCATACAAGACTTCTATCTTTACTTTTTCTGCCTTTTCCTGTCTTTTCCAATCACATGAGTAATTTTGTAACCTTCTTTCTAAATTAAATAACATAATTCTCCAGACAGGTTCTTAGTCATCTTTGCTATCTCAAAGCGAAAAAAAAGAAGGCTCTAAATAAGAGGTGATCATCAAGCTGAGATAGTGCATCTGTTTTCACTTAGAAAAGGAAGCAAGGCAGGTAGATAATACAAAATTTGTGGAACAAATAAGATAGAAGCATGAAAAAAAGCAGGAAAGAAGTATCATAGGTAAAAGTCTAATCTGAAAAAATATAAAGTGTATTATCACAAAAATGGAAATTTCTGAGTGTTTTAAAAGTCCCAAAAAAGCAGCCATAGTTTGAGGATGAAAAATGAAAAAAAGGCAACTGAATTAATGCAATGTTGGTTTTCCCTAAGTATCATACATGATTTTAGTTTTCCAGTGTCCACAGCAACAAAGATGAAGAGATGCATTCAGATGTCAGCTTCATCTGGCAATTTTAAAACTTTTCCTCTCTGGCCTTCCCTCCCAGTTGTCCCAGAGCACAGGTTAGAAACTGTGTTTTCCATGCAGATGTGCAGAACTGACTGATTAAACTGTAGAATATTTTACCTACTCCTGAAGCCTTTATTCCCTACATTTATTACTTTCCTCTCTCTTTCTGTGGTTTTGTTTTTTTGTTTTGTTTTGTTTTGTTTTGTTGTGGGTTTTTTGTTTGTTTGTTTGTTTTTTCTTTTTTTTTCTTTTTGCAAGGGCAAATTGCTTGAATTAAATTTTTGGAAATTCTACTATCATTTAAAATATGCTCGTGCTATCCTGTGGAGTTCTCTTGCAACAGTGGTAGCAAAAATGGCTTCTGTTGCTTTGGCAATAAAATAAGTACTGATACTGCTGACATCACTAGGAGCTACAACTTTGTAAGCAAGGAAGAGCCCACAGTATCATATGCAGAAGTAAAATTGGGTCACCAGTCAGCATGTTTATAAGCCCATTTAAAATGAGATTTATGCTTTGCCAAAGGATTCTTCTCTGTCTCCTTTCTCATGGGATAGTAAGCCTTTATAACTCTTAGGATGTTACTAAAACTCATCAGAAGTACTTAGTTAATTAGTTCTTGTTAGGGACCTCTTCTGAATTTCTCAGAACAGGTATTTAAACAAGAGAGTAATGGTTGTTTTACCTGATATTAGTTAGGGATGATGCAATTTGCAGTAGCAAATTGCTGTGTTCTCCCATTGCATTCAAAATAAAGGAAAAACAAGATTAGACCTACTTTACCCACATTAGTAACATTTTTAAACAGTATTTTTACTTATACATGATGTTATTTGGCACCATTTAATAGAAAAACAAGTTCCTTTTAGGGTCAGATGAGGCAAGTGTTCTGAGAAAGGCCTAAAAGGTCAAGTAACTGTACCTTGTCACATCTATATCATAATGTATATGCAGCCTGAATTCTCAAATTTCCTAAGATTTGAGATCTGAACTTTGAAACCATCAAGTTATTTTTATGTGTTTTTATAAAATCTGTATTGAAGAGTCATACATGTAGGCAGATGTATATCAATACCCACGTCTATAGCGCAATTATCTAAATAAGGCATAAGAAATTCCCAGCTTTCAGTCCCTATTTGATCCAGTTTGCAGCTCTGGGAGGGAAACACTGTGCTATTTGGCAGTGAGTATATATCTAAAATTTTATCTTTTCAGTGACCAAAAAGTTTCCTTTTAAAGGAAATTCTTAGTACACTGTGAAGGCTATTTAAACGTCCCGAGTACACAATATCCAGCCTATGAGACACTCAGACACCTTTGATTCTAGCGGTACTCCTGCATGTCTAAAAGGAAGGTTTACTTCTCTTGAGGTTCCTTTGAGCTACTGCTATAAAAACATTTAATAACAAACAAGAACTTACTGTCTGTGCAAGCCTGTCCTATATCCTTCTTTTACTAGGAAAAAAATGTACCATGAATCCGCACTGGCCTACTAAATTGGCAAAAAAGCATTTTGAGATTCTGTAACCTGTATATAACTCCCTTCAAAAAAGCTGCTGTTCTGGCTGACAATCTCATTGCTGACACAAAGACAGTGCAGGTTTGCCAAACAGCACTGTGAGAGGGCAATCACCAAACCGCCTTTACCTCCGTGCAACCCAAGCCATCACTTGCTCAGATGAAAGGAAGCTGTCAAAAGCCAATTCACTTCTAGCAAACAACACCTGAAAGCAGGTCAGTGGCTTTGCAGCACAAGATGTTTCTTGCTGTGTCCAAGAAACTGAAGTTTGCCTTGCTTGCCAGTCTCTCTTGACAGTCTTAATAACACTTAGTCAGTGCAACCCAGTTTCTTGCAATCTTTTGACCTCCTTTGCAAGCAAAATGCTGGACGAGAGAGGTTCAGATGTTCCAGTTTCCTCCAAAGGTGGAGCCATTGCCATTTATACTCTCAAATTTAAAAAGGTTTCTGAAAAGCCAGAGATGATGTGTCAGTCCTTACATGAAGTCTGTCAACATCCTTTATGATGTTTCATGACTGTCTCAAAGTTGTTTTATACTTCATATTATGTCCCCAGCTAGATTATTAGACATAATGCCTTGCAGGCACAAGGTGGTTCAAATCTAACTTGAATCATCTGGCTTGGTAAAATTAACAAGCCAGCGAGAGCATAAAATTTCATATCAACCTTTACCAGATTTTCTACATAGTTTTAAATGGCACAAGATACACGATTGCCATTGCCAAGGTAGAATTGCCAGAGTAGTGTGATGTGTCATTCCTCTTCAGCAACTTTACCAGAATTTGAAGGAGTAAAAGTAAATCAGCTGATAGAATCTATAAAACCCATCACCCATCAGATCCCTGACTTTCTTACTCAGCACACAGGTCTTATAAAAGGATGGTTTAGTAGATTATCCAAATAAGTCAGCAGTGCCCTGGCAGCCAGGAGGGTCAACTGTGTCCTGCGGAATATCAGGCAAAGCATCGCCAGCCGGTCAAGGGAGGGGAAGTGGTCACAGCACCAAGCCTGACAGAGTTCAAGAAGCATTTGGATGATACACTCAGGCACATGGTGTGACTCTTGGGGATGGTCCTGTGCAGGGTCAGGAGTTGGACTCGATGATCCCTGTGGGTCCCTTCCAACTCGGGATATTCTGTGATTCTGTAATATGGAATGGGCTCAATAGTATAAATCGGTATGATGAAGATAAAATGTGTGATTTCTAATTCCTTTCCTAGGTGCAGACAATAGATGATTCATACAGGTAGAAAGAGGTAAAAATTCTTGTATACAGGATATTTTCTGTAGCATTCTTGCTGCAAGCTGCCAACCACTGCTCTGAAGAAGCTTCCAAACAGAATTTATTACAATTTTTGTATGTACAGATCTATATCTGCCTTGATATAGAGATCTTTAGCTCTCTATCTAAATATAAAATAGATCTATATAGAGATTATCAGAATCATATCTATACATTGTTATATAGAATAATGTTATTGATCTATATAATTATTATGCATATATATTATCAGAGATGCCAGAATAAATATGTATTACACATGATTATACAGTTACATGATTGATCTCTATATTATTATATTTTATCTAGTATCTGTTATTGTTAGCATAATTATTCATTATAAAGTTTAGGGGCTGTATCTTTTTGCCAGAGATATTGTGTAATACTGTGAAATACTTCAGCAAATCCCATGCAGCGCTACTAACCAGCATCTGTCTCCAAGGCAGAAAACGAGGGTCAGCTCAGCATCATAATGCCATTCAAAGAAGTGAACAAAGATTAGCTTCAAGCTACAGCAAATTCCCTTGAGGCTGCTGAGGCAGATGGGGTATGTTTCAAGTTAACTTGTCAATGCAGCAGTATTTCAGCCCAGAAAAGCACTTGGTCAATAAAATCTCAACCAGAAAAGTCAACACAGTGCATCACACAGGACTGTAATTTCTTTCCCAAGTAAGTTAAGGCTAAACAGGTAAAACAGGTCATAGATAAATCTCTGATTTTTTCAACTCACATTTCAACCCACATAAAACATTTTATCATCAAGCAGCCGTGCACTGCGCACTGCACACTGCACAACACATGCTGCATAGAGGTGGACGGCTTCTTAGAAGACTGGAGAATCTGATAATGTCCAGGAAGCTGGCAACTTGCCCTTCACATCTCAGGGCCAGCTGCTTACCTTCAGATGACTTTTTTTTCCCTGTGTTTAGTATTTTTTGTGTCTGTGGCAGACTGTGGCAGATAACCTTAACCAGAGAGACAGGTACATGAAGACCACTATAAGTAGAAGAAAAGTGATTTCTAAATGTTTTCAGCTTTCAAATGAAGCATTAATTTTTCCTCACTTGAGAAGTGCAGCAATACCAATAACGTCAAAGAGCATATTTATATAGTGATACCTCAGAAATGTTATTTGTTCCCAAGCTGCATTAAAGTATAAACTTTAGTTACAGGTGTTGTGTCAATTCCCTTCAGACCTGCATGTACTCTTTGCTCCCCACAGGAGGCAGAAGGGGGCTAGGGGCTTGGGCAGGGCCCTGAGCAGGTCAGCAGGCATTGATTACCCTCATCAGCCTCACACGGGCCTCCACCCATCGACCACCCACCCTTTGGCCCTGGAGCTGCATTTAAACCCCAGCGGCTTAGGTTTTACTGGAACTGCAGTGTTTGTGTGTTGTGCCTTGGGTTTAAGTGATCCTGCTACTGCTGCCCCTGCCTCTTCGTGCTCAGGTATGCTGTGGCTATACCCCTGTTGTGGGGAGTAGGGAGGGGGATGTTATTGCCTTGTTGCCGCCCCAGCCTGCTGCCCTTCCCTGACAAGAGATTTGAATTTCCTATCAAAATAGAGTTGAGGCTCTGCTATGCAAATGAAATACCAATTTTGGATCAAGTTTAGTCTTTAATCCCTTGTCTGAAATTCTTCCAGCTCTGCATGATAGCAGCTGCTGCTCTGGGCCACCCCTCAGCCCGTCTCTGGCTTGGCTCCAATGCCATGCCTGCCTGCCATGGGGGCTAGCTCCAACCCCCTGGCTGGCCTCTGAAGTCCATGCCACCACCTCTCCTGGGCAGTGGGGGGAAAAACCCCATAGCCTTTGGCCACAGGCACCTGGTCCAGTTATAATACTGTTCCAGGCTCCCCCGCAGCCCAGCTGGGGTGGGGAAAGAGGGCCTGGTCCCCCGCAAGGGGCCCGCAGGCCTCTCTCTCCTCTCACCTCATGGCTTCCGAATCCCTCTCTCTCACTGCCCACAACTTCCTTCAGCTGTTGTAATACGCTAATTTCACAGGGGTGAAATACAGCTCCAATTGGTCCCTCATCAGAAACTCACCTGGGACCAACCACTTCCAGCGGCTCAAACCACGACAGGGCAGAGCAAGCACTGGGGTAATCACTGAGAGAAAGCAGAACTGCAATTCAGTGTGAGGGTCACAGCTAAGTCTGGCTCCAAAAGGCAAAGAGGAGTTAAGTTGTAGGGCAAGCACCTCTGCATGGAGAAGGTTGAGATTCACAGTGCCTGTATTCTAAGAAAACAAATTCTGAAATGTCGCATAGGATAACTCTGCCCATCGGCAGCCACTGGCTGCTTGAGGGCCCCAGACAAGTTACTAGCACTTGAATTTAGAGCTCTGGGACATGGGAAAGGCTCAATGGCAGGACTTGAGGGACATTGTTTTTTCCCTTCAGGTTAGCAGCCTCTCCCTGCTGAGGAGGCATTTGCACTTAGAGACATCGATCCGGAAAGGGAGCAAAATGGACAGACTAGGAAGGAGCTGCTGGAATGCACCTTACATCAGGTAAACATGTTGTTTTGAAAATATGTGTAGATAAACTACACTTGGAAGATTATCCTTGCCCTTGAAATAATAGTTGAGATCACATAACTCAATTTAAGTAGTTACTAATCTGTACAAGTATCACTGCCAAGTAAGTGTTTCTCTAGAAGTAAAAGTGCTACTGTAACTTCCTTAAATGGTTTTTCTTTAGCTGTGTCTAATGATACTTAATTTTTTTTCAATTAGAATTTTCTATTGTTGCTAACAGCAGTTCCCCTCAGAGGAGGGAGCATTACTGTAAACAGTGTTTCAGGCAGCAACTAACATTTAAAGCAGTCCCACTTCAAAGCAGAGCTCTCTGACCTCCTCTGTAAAACACCAGCAGCTGTAAGCACCCTGTTTATTCCAGCACACTAGCTGCTGCTTCTGGCTGAGCTACTGCTACAGATCGTCTGTACTTAAAATAACCAGGACAGGCATTAGGGAATAACTGCTTTGGTATAAGCCTAGAGCTATTATTATAAGCTTAGATTCGCACCAAGAGCCATTTCAGAATATCCAAGTGTAGTAAATTTCCACTCAGAGACAAGCCCTTAGCATGGGAAAGAAACAGCAAATGCTTCTTGATGTGGATGGTCTCTGCAGCATTCTTGTTGCTTCGAGTCAACATACTCAGATTTTGAGGGATGAACACTGACAACCTACCACTGATGACAACAGAAGCTGAAATAACAATGAGCTGCTACATATTTATTTCCTGTGTACTTATCTAACAACTGCAGTAAGATGCAGAGCTCTGACTAGTTCCCAAGCATGTAGATCTCAGAGGAATGAACGAAATAATAAGGGGCTGAATCAATAGACTCAATCAGGGTCTCAGATGGGACTCAGGAAGCTCTTGTGAAAGCCCACAAACTGGTAATTAGAGGGAAGAAAGGTTTCGTTAGCACCAAAGTCCAGAGCCCTGTGGCTGGGGTTAGGGGGGGAGGAACTGACTTTTATCAGCAGTTTTGTACCTATGTTAACCTTGCCTGTTAAAACCTGTGAAGGGTAGTGCTAAAGGTAGAATAAAAACACCCTGAAAAACATATAAGTCTATGGGACCTGATGAGATGCATCCCAGAGTCCTGAGGGAATTCACTTGATGTAGTTGCTAAATCACTGTCCCTGGTATTTGAAAAGTCATGGCAGTCAGGGGAAGTGCCAGGTGACTGGAAAAGGGGAACATTGCATCCATCTTAAAAAAGGGTAGAAAGAGGGACCCTGGCAACTACTGACCTGTCATCCTCACCTCTGTGTCTGGGAAGGTCGTAGAACAGATCCTCCTAGAAGCTAGAGTAAGGCACATGGAGGACAGGGAGATGGTTTGCAACAACCAGTACAGCTTCATTAAGGTTAAGTCCTGCCTGACCAACTCAGTGGCCTTCTACAATGGGGTGACTCCCTCAGTGGACAGGGAAGGGCTACAGATGTAATTTATCTAGATTCTGTAAAGCCTTTGACATGGTCCCCCACTACATCCTTCTCTCTAAATTAGAGAAGATGGATTTGATAGGTGGACTGTTAGGTGGATAAGGAACTGGTTTGACAGTCATATCCAGAAGGCAGTGGTTAGGGGCTTAACATCTGGATGGACATCAACAACAAGTGATGTCCTTCAAGAGTCTGCATTGGCACTAGTGTTATTTAATGCTTTCATCAGTGATATAGACAGTGGGATCGAGAGCACTCTCAGCAGATTTGCGGACAGCTCCAAGCTGAGTGGTGCAGGACACACCTGAAGGATGGGATGCCATCCAGAGGGATCTGAACAAGCTCGAGAAGTGGGCCCATGGGAACCTTGTGAAGTTCAACAAGGCCAAGTGCAAGGTCCTCTGCCTGGGTCTGGACAACCCCTGGTATCAATACAGGCTGGAGGATGGATGGATTGAGAGCAGCCCTGTTGAAAAGGACTTGGGGGTGCTGGTGGGTGAGAGGCTGGACGTGAGGCAGCAATGTGTGCCAGGCAGCCTGGACAGCCAGTTGTCTCCTGTGATACATTAAAAGAGCATGGCCAGCAGGTCAAGGGAGGGGATTTTTCCCCTCTAAACTGCTCTGGTGAGACCCCACCTGGAGTACTGTGTCCAGCTTTGGAGTGCTCAGTACAGGAAAGACATGGACCTGTTGGAGCGGGTCCAGAGAAGGGCCATGAAAGTTATCAGAGGGCTGAAGTACTTCTCGTATAAAGACAAGCTGAGAGAGCTGGGGGTTGTTCAGCTTGGAGAAGGCTCTGGGACCTTACTGTGGCCTTTCAATAAAGGGGACCTGTAAGAAGGAGGGGACAGACTTTTTAGCAGGTCTGTTGTGATAGGAAAAGGAGTAATAGTTTTAAACTAAGGGAGGGTAGATTTAGCCTAGATATAACGAAGGAATTTCTTTACAATGAGGGGTGGTGAAGCACTGGAACAGGTTGCCAAGACAGGTTGTGGAAGCCTCAACTGTGAAAACATTCAAGATCAGATTGGATGGGTCTCTGGACAACCTGATGTTGTTGAAGATGCCCCTTCTCATTGCAGGGGGTGAACTAGTTCCTTCCAACCCAAACCATTCTATGATTCTACGAATTTCCATTTCACTGAGTGTAACTGAGCCTGAGATATCAAAATGAAAAGAAATACTAGTAGTTAAATACACTTTATTTGGATATAAACAAGCTGAAGCAAACCTAGAGAAGTTGTGGGTTGGGGGTGTGAGTGCAATCTGCTACTGCAGATTCACGAAATAACACTTGTTTAAGGGTCACATTCAGCTATAAGCTTAGTAAGAAAGATTAGTAGGCAAGTTGTCTGAGGGGCCATTCAGTAGTAAGATAAAGTTGTTAGGTCTTTAAAGTTCAGTTTTATTGGAGGCTTTCACTGACTGACTAAAACTGTCCTGTGTGTACCTATTTCTTCTAGAGACTGCCTATGGGGATTGTCCTAAAGCTGTCTTCAACAAATGGAGAAAAATGTGTGGGTTCCCTATGACAGGTGATCCCTGAAACAGGAAGAGAAACAAGATGTTCCTGAGAGGCATGTAAACAGCTGACCTGAGCTTTAAGAACATGCCAGCAAATTAAAAATATCAATGCAAGGAACTGGGCTCTTTCTCTCAGGATTCACCATTCCAGCCATTAGAGTGAACTGTAAAACTTAACTACCTGCTTCAGAGGTGGCAAAATGCCAACACTTCTCAGCACCAACAAGGAATATCTGTGCTTTCATGAAATCAAATTCCAAGTTCCGCTTTATGTGATAATCTTTACATGAAGTTTCAGGACTAGTAGGTCAGCTAAAATTGGCACTCACTATTCCCATCACAATCCATAATCATCCCACAGGGAAAACTGCGGTAAGCATCCCCATCAGTCTCCAGAAGTGCTTGAGTTAGACATGCCCGTCTTCCTTCCTTGTCCACTAGTCAGCTACATGAAGGCATGGCAGGGAAGTCAGGAGACAGTTTTCATCACTGCTAGTTAGTGAAGGTCTGGCACAGCCGAAGGCACTATATTCTGCTAGGGAATGCACTTTGAGACACATTCCCTCCCCACCCCCCCGTTGCTAATATATTTCCAGGGCTCCGAAAAGAGTTTACCTTACATGTAAAATCTTCTACATGTTTTAAAACTATGGTAAACTTACATAAAGGATGATATGCCATATTTTGCCCCTGCTACCTATACTGAATACTTGAGTTGTCCAAAGCAATGTGAGGCTCTATAAAACGGTTCACTGAACTTAAAAAAAAAAAAAATCAAACCTCTACTTGCATGTATTCCACTTGCACATTGCATCAGATTCTTCTAGTGAAAGTTTCTCTGGAAAAGCACAGAGTGAGAGTCAGGGGTGACATTTGCAAGGCAAATTCTGATATTCTGTGCAATATGATCAAATATTGTACAGCCTCTCTGGGCATGTGGTCCAATCCTTTGTTAGAGATGGAGAAGTCCTTGAGCAACTTGATCCAAAGTAGCTCTGCTTTGAGCAAGAGGTTAAGCCTGATGACCTCAGGAAATCTCTTCCAGCTGAAACTGTTCTATGTTGTATGATTCTAGTCCCAACAAAGTTTGGCTCAATGGCTGGCAGGTAGAGAAAAGAGCAAAGACAATGCAGTCAAGGAGAAATCTCTAGGCCAGACAAGGAAATAGAAAAGGACTGAGAAAGGAAGAGAGGGTTACATGAGAAACTGGGAAAGGCAAAGAGCAGAAGGAACTCATAGCTGTGATAAATATTACCTCAGCCCCCAAGCAGCTTTGGGACAGCAACATGCTGAGGCATGACTGGGCAGCAGGCTCTCAGGGGTCTTGGACTCCTACAGATCTTCTGCTGTCTGGCCAGAGCTTTTTCAAAGCCACCTTCCCTTCTTCTCTCCCTGACTATCCCCTGCTATGTCCTTAGTGACTCTCTAGCTGCACACTTCTGCCTGCACTGCACCAGACTACTGATGGTCATGTTGATTGTAAGACACAACAGTTCAGTATTTAAAATTTATTTGTACGTGCTTGCAAAAGTTTGGTCATACTTTTTGGAAGACTAGTAAATTTAGGTCCTAGTTGTGTAGTAATCACTTCTTCCTGAGAAAGTCCCAGCAACAGTGCACTTCTGTCAGAGACACTGCAGCCATGACCACCACCAGCTTTCTCTTTAATAGCTTTTAGGCTAGTTAGAGATTGGCTGTCACTGTGGTATGCTGAATACTTTTCTTCAGGAATAATTTCTGCTCAGTCACTCAAATTGTTTCCAGCCTGTTCACTCTCTTCTACATGCCCTCATGGCTTCCTTTCCAGAGAAGATGGTGCAACATGTGTTGTTTCTTTTACTATGAAGCATTTAGGAGTTCTAGGAGTGCTGATGTAAGGAAGGTATGGAAAATATGAGTACTTAGTATTGGACAAGTGTAGCAATTTGACTGTGTGGCAGCCAAACCCTGCTGCCTCAGCTTTGACAGATAACAGCTTCAAAAGCATAAGTTAAGTCTCCATCAGATTTCCAACTTTGACCATTATTGCACCTGAAAAGCATGTGGATTCAAAATTTAAGCTGCTCCTGTTTTGATGCAGATGGGTTCATTCTGCAGCCTTAAGCCCATCAACTTTGAGAAAATTCCTGTGGGGATCAGGCCAACAGACCAGCAAAGGGATTTTTAACTCTGTATTTGGTGGGAAGCCATTTGCCCTTTCAGAAGGTTTAACTGTCCCTCAGATGCACAGTTTTCTGTGATGTGTCTGCAATTCTTGTAGCATGCCAGATGGCCTGTATCAGGCTCATCTGTGTTTCTTGGCTTGGAAACATACACTGTAAAGAACTTAAGGGATTTTTCTTTATTTCTGAAGCAGGTTATCCTTTGGCTCTAAGTTCAGTTCCTGGACTAACTCATCAGCCAAAATACAATTTTGCATACAGTCTCTGCACCAAGCAAAATAAATTCTTAATAGTATTTTAAAAAGAAACCCAAACCAATCCACCTGTATTGCTATTTCCCTTCCGTGAACAGTTGTCAAAGTATCTGTGGCAAAACACATTAATTCATCCAGAGAAGCAACTGTAATTTAGGCACAAGGAAGTGCTTTTAAAACCTCTGAAAGTGTCAGTTAGAAAACTATGCCCTGAAGTATAGCCCTGTTCCACTTTATTTCTTGACTGTATCTGAGTGCAGTGCATTTTAGGGCTGCTTCCAGATATCCTGTGCTGGATACCAGTCAGGATAATATACATACATAACTGTGAATAACCACATATACACAGTCTGCAAAATTTGACTGCTGAGGTTTTTGAAAAGCCTGTCTCAGATCTTGCTGTGTTTAATCACTCTTGCCCATACTGACAGGTGTTTTCACAGGAATACATTCAGATCCTGCATTGCTGCTGGGCATACTTGCCAGGTTTTTTTTCATTCTCTCAGAATCAAGAGAAACTCTTTGTTCAGAGGCAGTGGAGGCTATTTTGGTTTCCTCTTATGGCTCTTGTTTTGATGCATTTGGAATTTCTTATTACTCCTGATACCCAGCTCTACACAATTCCACAGTAAGCTCCCTGTCCATCACTTCCATCTTTGTGGAAAGACAGCTGGGGGTAAAATTAGAGGAAACTGAGAAGTTATATCCACATCCTAACAGAAGTTATAATGGTTTGGAAATTATAGGGTACAATACAGTTGCTGCTCCCTGAGTGGAATGTGGATGGCATGTTCAAAACATATTCCACAATCTGCAACTGTAAGCACCTGCCAAGGGGGATGGAACAGAGGGTAGAGCAGAGTGGAAACACCATGGCCAGGCTCTGTTGAAATTCTTGCAGGGAGGGGAACTCAATGGTACTTTGCAGCTGATAAACCACATAACACCTGTCAACCAAGGGAGATAGGAGATGTCTTGATGCTTAGACAACAACTGAGGTGAAATCTCTCTTCTGAGATGACCTTGGCTCATTAAAGCCTAATTGTAATATTAACACCCACCTCCATCCCAAAGTTACCCACCTCCAAGATATAACTACCCATCACTGAGCATGTGCTCTATATTTTATTGACTGTTTCTTTAAGAGCAAAACAAGAGAATTTTACATTGGTCAGTAACAAAGGAATGTATGACTAGAGTCACTCAAGCTTCACCTAAACATAAAGAAATAGTCTAAAATTAAGTTGAAAAGGGGGGAGATGCTAGAGAAGACTCCATTGTAACTGCTGGGATCAGTCATTGGGCTGAACTTGTCTTTTCCCCCATAGGGACACCTACTGGGTAAAACCTGTACTCTGTGCATGCTAAATACTTTTATTGGGGATTACAGCTATCTGTGAGTTGCTTTGAATATGTTTTTGCAGTCAGATACTATCACCAAGAACCCTAGAACCTTAACCTGTCACAATTTTCTATTAATAAAGAGTGTTATTCCATATGATGTTAGTGTGGGTCCTTCATGGGTGCTGGGAGTCACCAGCCACAGGTAACATACTTGAATAAAGTGGAAGACCTGCTGAAGGGTCATAAAGTGGGAAGATCTGCCTTATGCTGATGGTGTGCATCCCTGAATAAGTCAGTTGAACCGCTCTCAGATCAGCAGGATTGTTCAGTAAAGGGTCCCTGTACTAGGGAAGGTTTGGAAGGATGCTGAAACTGAGACCATACACCATTGAAAACTCAACAAAAACAATATTTATTACCAAGAGGTGGCCAACAAAACAAAAAAACCCAAGAGAGAGGAAGGAGAAGAAAAATAAGCCCTCAGTACGACTCCCCCAGTCACCTAGGTGTTGCTTATGAAGTTATCTTACTGACCCAGAATGCCTAGAATTACCCATAGCAGAAGCTGCATTCTTGGAGTGTCGGCAGGCTCACAAGATAGCGGGTGTCCCTGCAAAAGGCAACGTTGTCCTTTGATGCGAAGCTTGCATAACCCTATCATGAGCTATCTGCTTTTTATCCAATTTGCTGGTGATGTCTACCTGGCCAGGTGTGGCCAGCACCACCCAGCTAGTGGCCTTCAGTCCCTCCCCCCATTATGCAAGTGGCATCTCTTCTACACATGTGTGGGTACTCTAGAATTCCCCCCATGTTTGTGCACTATACCTCAGGGTGTCTTTTCTAAATGAGTCTAGGGGGGTACTTCATCACTCTCCTCTTCAAATGCCCTTGGAGGGCTGTCAACCAATTGCAAGGTATTAATTAACTATAGTTTATACAAGATGCTCCCTTCAAGGACGAAGTCCTCATTTATCAGTGCTTGTTTTCTCATAACTTGGCAGGAAAAGAATAGACTGTCACAGGTGGCTGGGCCAAACACAGACCAAAAATATCAACATCTAATTAAGCCTGGATACAGTCCCCATTACATATGCTGATGGACTAATCAGGAATGATGGTCTCAGCTTTCCTGGGCCACTGACAGATAAATCAAACGCTATCAATGAAATCTCACCTTTTCACATGACAGCAAATTGGTTTAGTCAGCAAGATTGCCATTGATAGTCTGCTGCAAAAGTATAAGTGTGCCCATTCCCAGGCTGGGAAGGAGTGGGCTCAAAAGTTTTGGAAGCATGAAGAGAAAGTGGTGGAACGCATTAACCAATGCTGAGCAGAAGTGTAAAGAATTACTGTAGATA